CAGCTCCTTTGCACTCCCCAAGGGGAGCAGCTCCCCAGTTCCACCACGGCAGGGTGGGCTTCCCCTCTGCCTGGGGCAGCACGGTCCTCCCACCGCTCCCAGGCACCACGGAGCCTGCTGGGGTGATGCGAATTTCCACCTCAGGAAGACAGCCACAATTAACCAAAGAAGAACAAACTGAAAGCTGAAGGACTGGGCTGAAAGGGAAGGTGAGGAGAAGCCAGCTTGCCCTTTGCAATCCGGCTCAGAGCTGGGGAGAGCTGGATGGGCAGGGAGGGAGAGGATGTTCCTCATGTAAAGCAATATTTATTTGCTAGCTTTGTGATCCTCTTCAAGTACAGACAGGACCAAAACTCCTGGTACAGGGAATGCACCACAACCAAGGCCTAGAAACACCTTTCAAGTCTGTTCCCTCCTGTCTGGGCAAGGAAAAGGAGATTATCAGGACACTTTATTCCTTTCCAGGGTGCTATGCACAACATCTGTTCTTTGCTAGGTCTACTCTTTGCTTCCAGTTCCCTTGGAAAGCAACGGTTCTCCCTTCCCCTTCTCTCCTGTCCTGGTCTGGGAATGAAGCGGAGCCACATGCAGCTCCTCTGACAGCCAGACTCTGGATTCCCCCTGCACTGCACCTGGGAGCCAAACGGGGTGCATATAGCAAAGTGCTATAGGGGCAGGGAGATGCTCTTCTCCTTTCAGGAAGTGAATAGGACAGCTCCCACGCCAGTTCCCAATGGCCTTTCCTAAGGCTGGCTCGGTAAATCCCTTCCACGCTGCCAGATGAAAGCTTGCTGGCAGAGGTCTGCCCTGGCATGCTGGGGTCCAACAGGCGAGGGGCGGTGGGGGGGCTGGGATGCAGGAGCAGCTCAGGCAGTGGGCACAGGGCTCCCTGTGCCTGGCTGCGAGCACAGAGCTGCCAGCTGAGCTTGGGCCTGTTTGCAAGGGGAAGCCAAGGGCTCCCATGACACTGAACCCCCGTGAGTTTAGCCGGGAGGGGTGTCATGCACGTCCTTTGCTGCGTACAGGCCTGAGGGTGCTCCCTGGAGCCACAGCCACCAGCACGGCTTTTGAACAAGGCTGTTGCTCAGCAGCAGTTGGTCACAGCTGGAGGGATTTTCTGGGTAGTAAGCAGCCACCAAATGTAATCCAATGCCAGCACCAGGTGCCAACTACAAGCTGAAAGGAGAACGTGAACTTAGTGGACACATTCTCTTCTACCTCCTTCAACATCAGCCAAAGAAAGGGGCTAAAACATCTCCTCCAAACAAACTCATTTTCCCTTACTGCAGGCTTGCTTCAGACTTCGAATACACTGTGTCCTGCTACTCCTCCTCTTCCGAGCTTGGCACATGTGATAAACACACTTATTTTACCATTTATCTTTGAATGACCAAGAATTTTCTATCCTCATGTTGAAGCCCATGTTTCCCCTACATAGGGAGGAAAGCCAGAAGCCAGCTCTGCCTGCACATTGTTTTTCTTGATCTAAAACAAGTTCCACATTAAACCACACCTGTTCTGCATTTGTGTGCAGGGAGAAACTACAAGAGAAATTTAGGAGCAGAAAGAAAAAGAAAAGAGAGTGCCTGGCTTCACTGCTATTCCCTGCATCCCTTCACGGGTTGGAGTGTGTCTGAAGTACTGCACGCATGATCAGAGGGATCACTGGGCCACGCCAGTGCGAGCTCTGCTGTGTTTTCTCACTGTGTCCTGCTCAGCAGCAATAAGACGGGGAGAAGAAAAGAGGGTCTTAGCTGCAGACCCCTTTCCTCTAAGCAGCTGGGACTGGACACCGGGTGGGAGCCGAGGTGGCTTTTGCTTTATGAGGAATAGGACAGCTATCTTTTGCCTATGAAGACGCACTTGTCATAGCACACACTTCTGTTTGTTTTTTAAATACACCAACCCACTGTCAGCAGTGCTCTAGTTTTCAGTCACATCTGCTGCACTCCTACCTTTCAGCCTCACTCCTGGTGAAGCCTCCTCACCTTCTCTTCATCCATAGTAAGCACGAGTGTTGTGCCTCCGGCAGAATCAGGAGAGGAAAGAAGAAATTAAAGGAGTGGCTATTCCCAAGTGAGTTACAAACCATTCTCTCTGGCAATCTTTGCAGTAAGCCTGCTCGTCTATCTTGCTAGAAAAGCCACAGCATTGTTTTAATTCTTCACACAGCCTCACATGCTGCGGAGGTGAGTGAACCTAAGAGCACAGCCTACCTCTGTCACCCAGGGTCCTTGAGCACTTGTGAACCATTCCCAAGGCAGAGTTCTGCCATACGTGCTATCGTCCTGTTGGCGGCTGTGCTTTCACCATGACTAACACAAGCCTCCAGCCATACTTCCATCAAGGCTGAGAGCGCCAGCACCTTTTTTTTTTGAACAGGGCCTAATCCCATTGCAGCAAGTCAGTTTCCTCAAACCCACTATAAACTGCTCATTTTCGAGCCCCCTTATTAAAATGAAGATGCCAAAAAAATTTACTTCTATTTTGCAGAGCTTAGAACAACAACAACAAAAAAAAAAAAAAACAACAAAAACCAGAACCTGTTTTTCTCATGCTGGAGGAGCAGGGGCTGGCATTTCCTGCAGGCAGCTGTTGGTATATGGAGAAAAACTGGAATTCTCTCCTGCCCCCAGAATTAATGATATAGAAACCAATGGGAGCAGCAGCTCTATGAAAGGACTGGTTCCTCTGCTCTTGGATGGTTTCCACCGAGAGGTTTGAGGCAGCAGTGCAGTCAAGAAGAACTCAAGGATAAGTGGAATTCACTTATTATTTTAAGCAATGCAAAATTTGCACTTTTCATGATACAGCAAATTAAGAACACATGACCCTGCCAAGCTATTTATTGCAACACCTCTGAGTTAGCAAAAGGTGCCTTTGCTACACCCACAAAATGGCCTTTATAATTTTCCTTATTCTGAAGCACCAGATCTAGCAACATGGAAAAAAAAAAAAAAAAGTTGGTTCCAGCACTGTGGTATAGCCTGCACTTAGTAGCAGTGGCAAAAGCAAGCAGAAAGGACTCACAGACCTGACCTGGTACTCAGTTGGATCTTTTTCCATTTTGGCTTTGGAGTTAACCCTTCAGTAAGAAGTAAATGTTACTTAATATAGAAGGACTGACATCTCAGTGGGCAGAAAGGCACTGCAGGTTGTTCAACAAACCACATGTGGTTGCCGAGGTCATGGTCCCACCTGGCCCCACTCATGGTGACTGTCACCCCAGCAGGCTACCCCAGACCCAGCCCTCGGGTGACAGACTACAGCTGGTTCATCGGGCTTGGTCATTTCTCCCATTCATGGCCACACTCAAACTAGGTGGATAACAAATTCTGCATGGACTAACCAAAAAACAGCAGAATTGCCCTTGTGACAAGTGCATCAGGTAGAAGATGCTAAAAATAACAGCATGCTTCACAGTCACAGCAGCACAACAGAGCGCTGCGTGTGCAGGCAAGCCCCAGGACCCACCTGAAGCTAAGCCTTGGACAAAACTTTCAGAGCATGTCCACCTTCCTGGAAGCAAACTTCTCCTTCCTAGACACAACATGAGCCATCTTCCGTCCCTCTGGTAACCACAGAAAAGTGGCTGCCTTGAAAAGCATTCAAAACAGACTATTTCTGCTAAAAACTATAATCTTATTTCCCAGGGGATACACTAAAGTCCTAAGCGGAAAGCCTGCCTACCATCTTGAGCTCAAAAAAAAGCCATACTCCGTAGCTGAAAATCGCCACCAGCCTGTGCTACTTGTGGTCCGTGCACAGCAACGCGTAACACGCACCAGCAGCCCTTTATCCTTTATTACTGAGTTCTGACCCCAAGGGTAGGTTCCATTTCTCGTCCCCTTTCTCTGCTGCAGAAGCAGCAGGTGTGGGAGGCTGCGGGGCAGGCGCTGCCTGCCTTTCCCTGCCATTTACCTCGGTGCAAGAGCAAAGCCAGCACCAGGGGAGCCCCCCTCCGTCAGGAACCACTCTTCTACACTGAACTGAAACAGCCTGGAGGCTTCGTGCATGGTATGCGGAGGATGAAATTAACCCTTACATTGACCTTAGCGGGAGCCACCGTTCACGCCGTGAGAAGCAGGCAAGACAACACAGAGGAGGATCAGCAGGCTTCACGTTTGGCAGTGTCTGCAATTGAAAGTGCATCTTAAAGTGTCTCTGAAGGGCACAACGGGGAAGGTCCTCAGAAGGAAGAGAAGTTTCCAGACGACAGCTACAAGGTGGAGGTGGTGGAAGAATGGCCACAGGCTTTTCAGAGCCAGTCTAGCTGGTTCTGCAACTTCTGAAGGGAAATCTTAGCAGTGCAAAACATCCTATACCTTTTCCTGTCCTCAAACATGCGGGAGCAATTTAGGGAACCCTCCTCTGATTCCCAGTAGGAGAAAGCAATCTAATCCAGGATTATTAATAGACGTTATTTGAACAGAGGTGGGTTGCTCCCTAAACCACCTTCCTGTTACTGTGTTGCATTAAAAATACACAGATAACATTGAAATCAGTAATTCCATGTCCTTGCAAACAGAATAAGGAGACAGTCACTTCATTAATATGCGATGGTGCATAGACCCAGCCCCAAGCTGACTGCCGGGGAGCTTAGAGGGTAGCAGATTCCTTGGAGGGACCAGCATCTGCAGCAAGGAAGGACTGATGGCAAGCGCCTTGCTGCAAGTGGCTTAGGGCATGCCTTGCTGCTTACAGAGATGCTCCCTGACCTCAGGTAAGCAAGTGGGAGATTTCTTCTTTAGATTTGATAAATCCTGACTTTAACTTTATACACATTTTTAAAGTGGAAGTGGGTAGCAAGGGTGAAAGCATTTCACATACAGCCAGTCCTTTTGAGAGGTGATGTTAAGCATGTAACACAACTCAGCGAAGCAGAGGAAGTGCACTGGCAGTAAATGAGCATGTCACAATGATTTGTCTCAGCTCGTGCAGAGGCAATTTTACATCATTTCAGTGACAGTGTATCAAGAACACGCAGGAATTCACTCTAGTGTCAGCATAACTTTTATTTATGTATTGCTGTCAATATGCACAGTAAATGAAGACCTGATGTAGCTACCTCCTGAGTACAATACTTCTGTAAAGTCTGTTATTGTGGCTTTTGATGGTAATAGATCAAAGGTGCAGCATTCACAAGCTACAGGGTGATTTTCCTAACTGCCTGAATTACAGATACGTTCCCTGGCCGTCCTTTTTTCTGTCCCTTCCAGCATCACATAATATAGACCTTGTAACTGGAAAATAGCCAGGAAATGATGCAAGGACAGTGTAAAGGGGAAAACCCGCTCTGTATTGCTCTCTCACAGCCCTTCAGCCCTGTAGGAGCCAGAATTCATTTGTGGCTTTCTAGCACAGAAGCACAAGTGGAAAAAGCAGGAAAGGATCTGGTATGCTAAGTAGACATGCAAATTCTCTTTTCCTGCTGCATCACCTGTCATCACAAAAATGTCAGCCTTCAGTGCTGGACCCTCTGATTGTATAAAATGTCCCATTGCCTGGCAGAGGAATACTGGTCAGTAACTGACATGAAATGGAAAGTACCGGCTGTGCATTCAATGCTTTTCCTCTGGTCACATCAGAATGATTCCCTCCAGGAGCATCACACCCTCCCAGTATGCTCCCTCCACCCAGCATCAACGCCTCTCCTCTTGGCTGGCAAGCCAGGGCTCCCTTCCCAGCCTCATCCCTGACTTCTCCCTAGAAACAGCACTGAATGGGTAGGGAATGACTTAGGCAGCCAGAAGCCAAAGCCTGAGGCTGGACAGTGTCACAGTCTGCATGGGACAGGTAAGCAGCTACGCCAGTGTCACTGGACATATGTAATACACAGCAGTGCTGATGAGGGGTTCAGCTCTGAAAGCCCCAGTAAATATGCACTTAAGACCCCCTGAGCCCTAACTGTACCTCTACTACTAACTTCATTCCTTTGTTTCCCAGTTTATACCACAGGGATAATAGCATCACTCAGTGTGCTTGTCCTGTGCTCTGTAAGCATGCGTAACTATTAGCCAGCTGCTTGCTTAAAATACGTGGGCCAGGCTGCAAGGTTTCCACAACAAAGTGATTCTTCTCCTGTAACGTATGAGACGACCACATGCAGGGCAACTCCTCCCCTACAGTAACCACCTGGTGAGTGCTTGGGAGAGGACAGAGGCCACCCAGGAGCCCACCTCTGAATAGGCTGTCCACAGCACCTCTCCCAACCCAGCCTTGACTTGCCAGAGGTCCCAGTTTCACCAAGACAGCCTGAATTGCAATTAAGAGGGCTGGTAGAGAGCAGTACAAAGCCTTGGATGCAGGCTATTCACTGTATCACATGCAGAGATGACTCTCCCCACCTCCACCGCCCTGACAGCTTGCTGCTGACAATGTTCAGTTCTCCTGGTGGCAGTGAGTTTTGTTGTTGGACACTCCTCACCCACCTGTCCTCCAGCTTGTTTTATGGAGCTAATGGATGAAGCCATCAGAGCCAAGTCGAAGGCTCCTCCACACTGAATCTGCCTGTAGATAACACCTTCTGCAGCACATAGCTCTGATCCTCCTTCTGGAAATGACACAGCCAGATATCTCAGTGCAAAAAACATACAAAGGTGGCCCCAGAACATTCTGCTTACAGTCAGCAAAATGCAACCCTCCCTCCAGCTTGCATCAATGATCCTGAGTTACCTATAAGCTCTTCTCTGCACATGATCCTCCCTGGAGCCAAATCCACAGCACTTTCAGGTTGCCTTCACATTGTATTGCTACCATTTGTTTGAAATGACGTAGCATGGAGAGGTTGCCCTGTATCTGATATTATTGCCGGTGCTGGGGAGGCTGGGGCTGCTGCAGTCTTCAGGAAATATGCCCCATCAAAGTGCTGGTTGACCGGGGGTGTGCAGCGAGCCATTTCCTAGATGGGATCAGGCAGAACAGGGTGAGCTGTGTCCAGCTGGGGAGGTCATGCTAGCTGGAACATAGACTGATAAAGGGCTTTCTCAGAAGCACTTCTGTTTGGCAGACAGACTGGACAGGAAAGGAAAGAAGAGGCACTTCCTAAACTATGGTCTGTGGTTCACTTTAACACTGACCATGGTACCTTGGCAAAACATGGCTTAACATAAGCAGCTGAAGCAAACAGATCTGGAGTGATCAGCAGAGAAGGTCTGCCAGGCTACAGGAAGCATTCAAATTAAAGCAAAGCCACTAACTGAGGGGATTGCCTACACGCAACTTTCCCCCACTTTCCCCATCAAAAGGCAAATCTCCCTTCCAACCCTAGCACCCGATGGCGTAAATTTTGCGGAGCTGAGATCAAGCAAGTTGAGATCAAAATCCCCCTCCCAACAAGAGTCACTTTTCATCTCCTGAAGCAGAATCCTTCTGCGACCTCATGATTTGATAGAGAGTTTCCCTGAAGTGCTGGTCCCGGCTCAGTCTTTTGGCTGCTTCTTTCAGCTCCTCAATGTTTTCAGCTTCTGCGTGCGAGAAGATGAAGGATTGGGACTGCTTCACTGAAACAAGAGCAGCATAGAAGGGTCAGCACTCTCCATCAGGAACACAACTGAAGACAAAGCATTGCGAGAGCAGATGAGCCATGCGATCAACACGACTAAGAGCCCAAAAAGGGTTGAGCTAACCATTGCACTCTAACAGCTTCACCTTACTGTTTTCAGAAGAGGAAAATGCTGAGAGCATGGAAACACCCTTTTCTTATTTACAGCTGCCTCTGATTTAGGGTTCTACATAAAACCTGATCTAACCTTGCAGGTAACCACTCTGAGCACTGGATTGGATTGGACAATGTCCAGGTGTCCCTTCCAACCCAAGTCAGTCTATGATTAACCATTTGGATGAAGACAGGCTTGGGCACGCTTTTTTAGGGGCCCAGGACCATCACAGCAGTTACCTTTCAATATACATGAAGAGACAGGCAGCCAGTATGCAGACTCAGTGCCTGCTCTCTGGGTAAGGAACCTCCAGGTTTCTCTGTAGCTCCATTCTACTAGTAGGGAATATGAAATATGAACCAGATTTGCAGACCCTACTGCTCTGTCAGCCCCACCTGCACATATCTGCTCCTGCAGGATACAGAGTAAGAAGCTGCCCAATACCTACAGTCATTCCATGAAGCACTGGCTCTCCGGCGGTGGAAGCGACAGCTCTTTATGCGACGAGTGGCAGCCTTGTGGATGTACACAGAGTTCTTCATGATCACGGGCATCTTGGCCTCCAGCTCAGCATTGCGGATGCACTCTTCAAAGAACTCTGAGAAGATGACACCGCTGTGAGCAGTGACGGGAGAGACACTTCAAGTGATGAACCAGTCACAAGGGACTGCACTCACTGATGGGCCGAGCCAGGTAATGATGCTCAACACCTCCCCAGATCTTCACAAACAACAGTCCACGAAGCTCCAGAATATTATCAGAATGAACAAGTTCAAAGTGACAAAAACCTCCAGTCCCCAACAAAGGCATACTTAGGAAAGAACTGCAACCATCCATTTCCCATCAATCATTCCCACAAGTGCTCAAGATTCAACTGCCAAGATAAAACTTCTCAATTCTCTTGTAACAGAGGGTCCTGAAGCTTTGCACATCTCACTTTCTTTGAAGGACTTCTAAAACCAGTCAAGTCTAACTGGGGAAAGGGAAGTGTTGGCAACACTGGCACAGGCACACACCCAGGCCATACACATGCTTAATAGCATAGCAAATATTAGCACATACATACGTACGTTACAGGCTCCACGCAGAGCCCCATGTCCAAACCCTGACAACGTTGTTCTGTCCCAATCTGCCTCACGAACTGCTTTTCCTGGCCCATTTCCACTCTTCTGGTCTAAGAGGTATTTATTCTGCCATTCCAGTCTTGCTGTCCTCCTGCCTGTTGCTGGTCCCTTGCTGCTCGCAGGGCTCACGTGTTAACGCACCCTAACTCTTACATGTAAGGGCAGGGCAGAGCTGCAGGAATCACTCGGAAGGGCTGAGGCAATCTGTGATTGGGACTGATGTTAAAGAAAACATGACTGGTCCCTCACTTTCTCTAGTGTTTTTAGTGTTTTGCTCATCTGTACATTTTTACTCTTTTGAAGAAAACTTCCCCCAAAATCTAAGGTAGGAAATGAGTGTCAAGAGACATTCAGTGCCAGAGGTTACTCACTTCTGCCCTGTGCAGGTGGCTCAGCTCTAGTTGAATGCTGAGCTCAACACATCTACTTCAGCTCTATTTTCTTACCATGGCTCTGAGCCATTGGCACAAAGTTCGGAATCATGCCCTTTTGTCTCAGTTTAGAAATCTAATGTAGAAACTATTGAATAATACCTATCTTATTTACACATTTTTATATATGCAAATTCTAAATATGTGTGTATATATATAAAACCATATACACGTATTTATGCTTACATAAATACATATTCTTAACAGTGTTCAGAATGCCACAGGACTTTTTGACTTTTCTATACTGGTCCAATACAACCACCTTTCACTGAAATGAAGCCGTATCTGCACAGATACAGCATCTTCATACCAGCTTCTCCTTGTTGAGGTGGGGGATATATATGATATATCCTATACTTGAGGATGGAAAGCAAACAAGACTTCACCCAATTGAAGCTGCTAATGTCAATTCCCAAACCTGACTCAAGTCAGGTGCTAGGGTAATGCCCCATTTTACAGGAAAAAAAAAAAAAAAAAAAGGCAAAGAAACAGGGATAATCTGTGAGGAACCCAAGTCTTACACCTGACCTGTGGACTTCAGTCACCTCAGCACTACAGTCCTGGGCTTATGCAGTGATTCGGCTCTGAGCAAGGATCCAAAGGATCATATTAAGGATCCTGCTGGGTCATCTACCAGCACATTGCTACAGCAGCCACGGTTCTCCTTAAACTGCTAACGTTCTTGGAACCAAGGCTGAGAAAAGATTATCTTGAGAGGAATCAGAGGACTCTTTATAACTCAGACCTACTCAGTCTTTACGGCTCTGACACAGCTTTCCTGTTTGACATTTTGGAATGCATTTTCTCATCTCTTCCCCTAGATTTGTCTTCCATCCAACAGGGAAGGCTGGGATAATTTTTCCCTCCTTTGAGGGCAAGATGCCAAGTGCCTACATAGCACATCTGGCTCCCCAAAAGGGAGGTGTGGTTGATGTACAAGGAGTTAGGAGTGCATGTTATGTGCAGCTTTACTAATTTGGGAACTTCTTTTTGTGTCTCAGAAGATGGGTAGAAATATTCCCTCTCAGAGCTTGCTCATCAGTAGAGAGGATGGATGACTGACTTACTTCTCAAGTTACTGACATCTGCTTTCATCTTCTCCTCTTTCTCCTTGTTGCAATCCAGATAATTTAAGCCTTGCTCCAAGCTCTGCAATGCTTCCTCAGCTTCTCTCAGTCTCTTCTCCAGATCCATGCGCACCTTCACCTCAGCCTGAGGAAGAGAATAAGCATTGCTGAAAACCAGCTTGCGTCTCAATAACCAACCTGCTAACTCACAAGGTCTGCGAGGGACCAACCAAGCAGATGAAAATAAAAAGACAACAGTAGAGAAAACAAATAGAAATATTCTAAGACAACAGAAGAGTTGTTTCTCTTATCTTCAGACAGAATCTGAAGTCCAGATTATTTTAGTAATTCTCCTTTACTCCAACTTTCATTTTCCTAGCTTCCCCCTCATTGTATGAACCATGCAGAATCAGAGATTGTATTTCAACACATGAATTTGTGCTTAAGCAAGTACTTGCAGCTGAGCAGAAACAGGAGGACATCTTTCCAGCTGAGAAGGCCTTGAGATAAAGGCAGTCAATTCCCACCAAAGGGGTGTACAGTATTTAGTTTCAGAAACAAATTACAAGAAAAGTTAGGAACAAAGGATAATATCAGTAGTAGTTCAGCAAATGAAAACAACTAATCCATCTTAGGTCAACTTAGCTTTAGTTTGGCCAAGTGGAAGCTTACAGGATAAGAAAATCTTGGAGGAAAAAGAAGAATTGAGGTTTTTTTTGGACAAAATATTTGTAGAAGGAGATTGAGTGTCAAACAGCCAACATAACCTTCACATGATTTAGATTTAAAAAGGTAATCTGTCCGATTACCTTCGTGTAGGTTAAGGTATCTTCCATTACTGGCATAATGAAGGAGGGCTGGTACCTCACTTGCATTCTTCTGCTTTTGAACCCAACTTCATGCAGAGGTTCCTGAAGATTTACAAATCTTAACATCAATTCTCTGTGCACAAGTGAGGAGGATTTCTGCTCAATTCTGCAATGTCCATATTTGCATTTCTTTGAAATAATCTTTATTCTTTCCTCTTTCTCTATTTTTTCTTTCCTTCTTCCAGTTTTAGATGATGCATTCACAATAGCAAATGAAATTACTTTTACTGAATGGGTTAATCAGACCTCAAAATGAGAAAATAAATAGTAGTGCTACATAGATACAACACAGCAACTTCACATGTTACCATGATACGAAGCACAACAAATGAAGATTTGCAACCACAAAATGAAAACAAAACCAAACCAGGTCTGCCACTTGATAGGGGATGAACTGAAAAGGAAAATGAAAGAACTCTGGGTCTGGGGACAGCCATATGTGACATACACAGGGGATACCTTGAGGTCTCTCTCCGTCTTCTGCTTCTCCGCAGTCAGCTCCGAGAGCGAGCTCTGCAGTGCTTGCGACTGCGAAGAGTAGAACTCCCGCTCCTCCTCCAGTGCTCGGGACCGCTCCTCATTCTCCTTCATCCTGGTGCACAGCACAACAAAGGAAGACGACCATTCCCACCACACATGCAGGAAGAAGGGGCTCAGTACCGTGACGGGGTACTCTTAAGTACCTGGCTGCCCCAGGCAGAGACGCTAACAGGAGCACTGTCTGGGTTTCACTTCAATAGCACAGGCGTTGCTGGAGAAAACCAGGTGGACAGTTCTTGAATGGAACATTCTCAACCCCCAGATGAGGTCCAAGAGGACCAAACACTTGTTATGGACAAGTCCATGAACACCAAATGGATTCACGTGCCTGTGTCCTGTTTGAAAGGATCAGGCCCAAGCAGCAGCAAGTAGTTCAGCTGCTCTGCCTCGCTCTGTCCTCTCTGAAGCATTTGTAACCTGAACTCTTGCCATGGGAAACAGACAAGCTTCCAGACTTGTGTTGGCGACCAAAAAGCAAGTCAGCAGATAGTATCATTTGGCACCACTAAGGCTGAGCAGGGCAGAAGCATCCTCCTCCCTTTACTGCACCCAAGAATAGAAATTATAAAGGATCTTGCCTCTCTGCAGGTCTCAGGATAAATAGGGGAACAGCATTAAAACGATCCTGATTTTAAGCCTGGAAATACTTAGTCATACCCTTTCTGGTTGCCTCCCACCTGCAAGGGAGAAAACTACCTCTTTTTCCACCACCCTCTTCACACTGGATAGCATCTTGTCCCACACCCCTGTCTCTGGCAACACCGTAAGAACCCCTACTCCCACTTCACCTCTTCTCTGCCAGGAGTTTCTCCCCCAGAAGTTGCTGCATCTTCTCTTCAATCTGTCGCAGGCTGCAGTGCAGTCCCCAGATGGGGCTTTGCTCCTTGCTAGGGCTGGTTGGAGGTGGGTGCTGGCTCTCATTTTCTTCCAGCATCTCCAACATTTGCTGCTTTTCCAGGGAGAGCTCCTTGAATAAGGGCAGAGATTGTGAGTAGCAGCTAAGTTTAACATTTCTGCTCCTGTTCCTGCCTGGCTCCTCCCTATTGAGTCCCTCCATCTTTACATCCATATGCCTCATTCAAATTAAAAACAAGAATAAGAAAATCTGGGTTTCATTTCATACCTGCCTCATGAAGAACAAGCCTCCACCATAGCCTTCACTATTCAAGGGGGCGAGAACCTTCAGGCTCCTTTGACATGACATACTGGTAAAGACCCAGCTCAGGGACTGGAGCCTTGTGCTTCCCTAGCGCATCACCAATGCTGGCAGCTTCCCCGCCTTCCCTCCTCACCTTGCTCCTCGGTGTGAACTAAAGGCATCCCCTCTGTGGTGCTTCTAACGGTGGGGCAACAGGACATATCATGCTGTTTTCCCATGAAGTGTTTGGTTCCGGTGTACAACTAGGGCACGAATGGTCCTTCCCTAGCTTTCCACTTTTTTTTTTTTTTCATACCCATAACTGCGGGCAAGGAGAAGAGCTTAAAGGAACATCAGCAACAGATTTTTGGACAAAGTTGCAGGATCTGACACGAACATTAAGGATGGCATTGAGGCTTCAAAAAGCCAGCTGTGTGGAAATTTCACAAACAATATATATTTAGAAAAGCCAGTTCCCACCAATCCACCAGAGTGATGCCAAGTAAGGAAAGGGTTTAATACATCAACACTCCATTTCTTAAATTCCCATGTGGTACATGATTCTCTGGGAACCATGGTCCCTCCTGTGAATAAGCAATTCCTCTCTGCTGTTCCAATTTCCACCAGCACTTAGGGAGTTGCAGTTACAAAAAAAACAAAACAAAACAAAACAAAACAAAACAAAACAAAACAAAAAAAACAACAACAACACCCCCCCCCCCCCCCCCCCCCCCAACAGAAAGCTATCACAGACTTATAGCCATGTTGGCTGGAAGGGACCCTCTGGTAGGCTCCAGTCCAGCCTCCTGCTGGTCTGTCAACACAGCAAGATATGGTCAGCTGTACCTGTGGCTTTCTACAGTCGAGTTGTGAAAACCTTCCAAGATAGAGGTTCCTCAGCCTCCCCCACTGCCTGCCTACCTGTCTGGTGAAAAGTCTCTCCCTAATGTTCAACCTGAGCTTCCCAAACTGCAAGTTACAGTTATCGTCCTACATCATATCACCTGGTGCTGCTGAGAAAAGTTTGGTTCTGTGTCACTTCTAGTCCTTTTCTGCAGGGGGTTTTGGCCTTCATATCAGCTACTGAATGAACCTGCTTATCCACACAGGACTTAACTCCGGCACTAGCGGATGTTCCACAAGACAGCATTGCTTCCAGCCCTGATGAGTTCTCATGGATCATTCCCAGCATGCTGTCTCTCAGAGGGGAGAAGTGGTCACTCACCTCTAGGGCTTTCTGTAAGGACTGTGTCAGGCTTCGCAACTCTTTCTTTTCTTCCTCCACTCCTTTAAGGGAGCGGGCTGTGAGCTCTAGCTCCCTGAAGAAGCAAAAAGGGTGATAGCTGTTGCAGGGGAACACTACCCCCACCCCCCCAGACCGCGCTCAGTCTGCACAGGCTGTGGATCTCTCAGCACAGGACCAGGTGGTTGTTATGGGCAGCCCTGCGCAGTCAAGAGCCTGTCAGGAAGCATCGTGCCTTGAACCCACTACGGACATCCAGGAGCTTCACTGTGCCTCCCGATCATCAAACCAAAACCAGCTGTTAGTGTGCTTCTCTAACAAGGGCAGGGCCACAGCTGCAACTGGAAGAGCTCAGGCAGGACAGTCATATCTAAGCAGATGTAGGTCTATGAAAACAAAAATGGTCCCCTTTCTAAATACATTTGCTGTTCATGTTTTGTATAGCGTAACGCTTAAAATGACAAAATTAGTCTTGGTGAGGCACCTTCATCATCCACCCAGTGTCATTCAGCTGATGGTGGAAAAGCAGATTCAGATGTCTAGAGCCCACATGGCTAGTCAGTCAATCAAACTGATTGCCTCTCTGAAATCCTCTAGAACCTGCCCATTGCCATGCTATCCTGGCTAATCTGGGGTTTGCTTATGTCCCAGCCCTTTGACAATTAGGTCGCTGGACCTCTGAATGCAAAATGAAACTAAGCTGTATTCTATTGGTCACACAAGTGATAGCAAATGCAGGTAAACAGATCTCAACCATTCATAGTTTTGTCAATATAGCATTTATCTCCTTCCTGCACACACAAAAGAGGTGAATTTCATTAACTGTTTTGCTTCACCACCGCAGCAGCACTTCTGCCCGGTGTGGGAGTTCATGCCCTTTTCCTGCCCTGTGCAGTTTGCCGCCTTACCGTCTGATCTGCTCCTGCTCCTGCCGCAGCTCCTGTACCACCTCTTCAAACCGGTGCTTCTCTGCTTCCAGAACCTGGTTCAGACGCTCAAGTTCCTGGACCAAAAGAGAAGACAGGAATGTATTCTGCTGGCACACTTACAGTTAGGAGAGGCTTCCCTGTTAACAATGCCTGGGACTTTTAACCTGAGCTATGTAACACAGGTGTGTCTGATTCCACCACACGTTTGTCCAGGGGCAATTAGAAGGGACTGGAGGTTGGTTGAGGATTTCCAGACATCCAGAAGTCCCAGCCAGGTTACCAGGCACCTGGAAATCCCAGACATGCTTCCTGCACAGATCAGCTCTGCTGCGCATATACAGAAGGACCAAAGCTCCCTGGGAATGCTGGACCCAACATACACATACCATTTCCAGGCACCCACACGTGCAGGTCCAGAAAGCCCAGACAGGAATGTGACAGCCCCAGCACTTCAGTGCCTGAAGTGCAATATTTCCACTAGCTCAGCCTTGCTTCTCATTCCCACTGGGACAGGAAAACATGAATTGTGTACTTACAGCTTCACACAGTTTAATCAGCCTGTCGCTGTCTTTGAGCTAATAAAGCCATGCTTAAAGAGCACTGAATACCACAAGCTATCCTCAAGCAGTGAAATGGTCTCTTCCCTTAGACTGGAGGAAGCAGCTGTACTGAAACCTACTGCAGATGGAGGGAGACAGGGACACAGTACAGCGAGGGTCCTGCTCCCAGTCAGATGCCCTTGCAACCTTAGCGGCTGGGCAGAACTGCTGCAGGCCCAGGCAGGTCACAAAACAGCACTGATGTCAGGTAAATTCCTAAGAAGACTCTTGCTCCGGGGTGCAGATACACGGTTCGAGCTGCTTTCCTAACATATTGCTCTGAAGCCTTCAGGCTCACAGCAGGTCAGACCGCCACAGCTCAGTGACCTATATATTAATTTCTTCATTAGTTCCAAACTCCTTCAAACTAACCTGGCCCCATCTGCTCTTTGTGGGCAATGGAGATACCATGAGTGGCTTTGTAAGAGCAGAGATTTGTTCCAGGGTCTTTAGACAAAGGCATTTCCCTCCCTATGGCTGTGGGTTGTGCTGCAGGCTACCTCACCCAAAAGGAATGTCTCCCTGCAAAGGTAGAAGTAGCTTAGCCCTAAAGGAGTGGCCAAGCCACCTTTGGACTTCAGCTCTGCAGAAATGTATGCAGGGAAGACATAGGCCAGAGGAGCCTAGGCCAGCACTGCTGCCTTTTGCTAGGGACAGGTGACAGTCATTTTGGATTAACTGGAAAAGAGGCAGTTTGCAAGATTGCAATGTGGTGGTCTGCATCCATGCAGGCCTTCCTACCGTGCAACAGGACAACCCATTTACAAAGCTATCTTGCAGTAACTTTATGATGGTGCTATATAAAACGTTACAGATTTGGTGTAAATATGAGAATGAGCTACTTTTATTATATTAAGCAAATATAAGTTAGGAATAGTTGGAAAACAATAATAAACTTGATAAATTAAGGTATAATAGTCACATCTAAGGGAGTGCTCTCTTGCGTTTTTCCTAGTGCAATGTTTATTATTCTCCCCACCTCTGGTGTGCCCAAAGAACCAACCGTGTTGTTTTTTTCTGCTCCTTGTTTCTCACAACAGTATCTGAAAATGTCAGGTCTGTTTATTTGCTTTCTAACTGTGGAGACAGACAAGTTGATTGTCACAGTCTTCTTGAATCTGCCAAGTAACAAGTGTATAGTTCAACCCAGTGAATATGAATTTAACGTGATCTTCCTCCCTGGTCCTCCTGGAGACATAATCACAAGCACACTGAGTGGCAAATGCCCAGGAAAGGAAGCAGGGATACACCTCCAGGAGCCATCCCATGGCATGGCTTTCATTCCTCTCTTCATCCACAGGGCCCAGAGGTTGGCTGGAGACTCTTTCAGCTCCACAGCCTCCCTCCCTGAACCCTGACATGCCTTCAAACCAACAATTTCCAACCTTCCAGTCCTACCTCAGGGAAGTTGAAAGAAACTGGCCGGTGATGAACACTCACCTCTTTTTGCTCCCTCTGCAGACAGAGCTCTTCTGTTTCTTCCATTAGCTTATCTGCAAACACACACACGTACACAAAGGCCAAATGTAGAGAAAAGCAATTTATATCCTGGGGATATTTATGAGCATGAAACACCGACCGTTTGAAGCTTGAAAATGCAGCATTCCATGTTGCTCTGTGTGTATCTGTCTGGGAGGCTCCAAAGGCTGAGATGACACTAATGGGATGTTCTGTAATTTCCCTCCTGCCAAATAACTTAACAAATGAAACAACCATATTGCTGTGTGCTCCTTCTAAGGTATCCTTTCAATGTTCTTAAAGAGCATTAGCAAACTAACCTTCACAATCTTCTAGTTGCTGAGTCAGAAAAATTATCTCTGCTTGAGGAAGCAAAAGCACAAAAAGGCTAAGTGGGTGCACAGGGTCACACACTGCTCCATCCTTACCCACCCAGTACACCCCCCTGTCCCTCGTTCCCCTGGGCACCTCTGCCAGCTCCCTGTTGTCACCTTGGGATGTCCCAGCCAAGCCCAGAAGCCAATCCCCTAACTTAGCCACAAAACTTCTAGCTGTTAGTTCCCCTCAACATCTGTTACTCTTGTCTACCGAGGACACACACCCACCAGAGACTCTGCTCTGATCCTTCCACAGTGACCTGGTGCACCTACGTCGTGCTACACTCTAACCTTGAACAGAGGCTCTGCCTTAGGCAGCTCTTAAGTCGTACTTACAGGAAACCAGACAGAAACACATTCCTCACAGTTAAGCCTAGGGTTTAGTTCTCAGCTCTGTCACCCATGTGAGCAGGGGCAGATTCACTATAGCACTTTATGATTAAGTCTTCAGGAGAGGAGGATGCTACCAGTTCCCTTTGTACTGGGGACCTGAAGAGATTACTACTGCTGGCAGAATTACTACTACTAGGAGGAATGCAGACCTCTACCTCCTGCCCAGAGCAGGGCTCCTGGTGCCAGAGCAATACTCTTATATTAACAAAACTCTGCTGACCACCACTATTGTCTTTCCTTCCCACTCTTGTCCTCTTTCTCCTTGCCAGGACCCAGCACAACTGCACTGCAATTACACAGAGGCTCTCCCACCTTCCCTCTTCTGCCCCTCCTGGGGGGCCAAGCCCTGGGCTTGACAGGCTTCTGCAAAGTCCCTGCCTGAGAGAGAAACCTGGATCCCATCTGGGTGTGGGGCAGGTGGAAGGTAACTCTGGGGGGTTTCAGGGAATCCCTCAGAGTAGTGTTTGCTTCCTCCAGAGAGCCTTGACCTGCTGCCAGCAGCAGTGCCTGACCTCAAAGCTTAACTACAGGATGGACACAGATCATTGAAGGTAAAGCTAATGAGGCAGAAGCCTCAGCAGCTATATAGGAATAAATAGACAATTGATGTCAAACAAAAGTAACCAGCTGTAACAATTGACCAGCTCTGAATGTTCTTGTCACGGAACAAAGAACCCAATGAAATACATATTTTATATTCCAAATTGTTGGAGAATGGCTCAGAGACAAGGGTCCTGAGTCCACCGAGCAATTGTACGATCAGAGCCTGCTCTAGCTGCTGATGCTGGGCCTCACAAGGGTTTGCCTGCAGCTGCTCGCAGCTGCTGATACATGAGGAACGTCAAGGATGCTTCGGCCTTGTGTACCGTGGTGTGTCAAAAACAGGTTGAGAGGAATTCGGAATAGTGGTCTGAGAAACCTAATGTTATGGCAACGGTGGTCTGAGAAACATTGTGTTATGGTACTGTTGTGTATCGAAAACAAGTCAAGAGGAATTAGAAATAGTAGCATGAGAAACTTAGTGTTATGAGAAGCTTGTGCTGTAAGCTAACTGCAAGTAGGTGGACCGTATGAACATGACCTTTAGAGCTTAAGCCAATCAGCTAGTGACTAGTAGGCATAATAATTAGCGTTGTCTGTATAAATATATGCACCCAGACCAATAAAGATTGATTGATGCTCTATCTTTCACACTGAACCTGTCTCGGCGTGTCGTTCATCCGCGGCTCCGCACCAAATAACCCGTTTGCCACAGAATGCGTATTCTTCTATTCCTCCATCACCTTGTCTTTTATTGTACTGTGGCCTTCTTTAGTCTCTTAGGCTCTTTAGTCCGCGCTGGTGGTTGCAAAATAATGTTTCAACAAAACTTTCCTGCTTCTGATTTTCCTCCTGTCTCTCCAGGTCCTCCTCTCAGCACTCCTTGCCATCCCTTTGTCAGGCATGGAAGCGCTCCTCCCTCCTGCCTCACATATGAGCCCATTCATCAGCTCACGTGTGTGAATGGCACTTAGATGGCCAGAATGAACATGCCTTGATACTTGAATTATGATCCCTGTTACATGTGAGACTATATACTGAGACTACCCCTGATCGCCATGGATGCAGAAATGCAAAAGGCTCTTCAAGATTCCTCCAGATGATTAAAAGCAGATACCACAAGCCCCTGCTCAAGGCATCACCAACCTGAAGCACCCAAAGCTGCTCCTAGCGTCTTTAAAGCAGGTGATTGTCCAGACAAGTCACTGGGCTCACAGATGTGACCAGCAGCGCCCAGGGCAGAAGGGCTCTCACGCTTTGGGGAATGCTCTAATTTAGGAGGTTAAAAAGGCTCCTCTCCTTTGGCTCTTGCTATAGCAATGTGGGGAAGAAACCACTGGGCCTCCCAAGGCAGCCAAGAGTACCCAAAGTACTGCCATCCAGAGGCTGGTTTCTGAGTAGGGGATTGAACTAGATAACCTCCAGAAGTCTCTTCCAACCCAAATCATTCTATGTTCATCTAAAGTAACTGCTTTCTCTCCATTGCCCGCGGAGAGAGCAATGACAAATTAGCCACTGCCACTAGGCCCTTGAAACAAGCCCATGTAAATGCTCCCACTTCCAATATGAACAGTGTAAGTAAATGCAAAGACCAAGTAGAGTAAGACCAAAAACAAACCAAAAACCATCTAGAGGAGGAAAACTCATGCATGAAAAGCTGCAATCAGCCTCAGAAATACCAGTCCTGTGTGACTGAAGGAGACAAAGGTATTGACTGTTTGCCTGGTGAGTAGTTGAAATCAGCACATCCAAACTTCTCAGGGGCAGCAAACATTCGTACAGCCCGGCCGTCAGGAGCTGCAGGACTGCAGCATGCTAACCAAAGCACGATCTTCCTTTCACACTCCACACAGCTGTCCAGATCCTACCTTAACATTTTCATGTTTTGACTCTCTTCAAAACCTGAATTTCAGCTGTGCACCACTCAAAAGCTTCATCCAGTAAAAGTCAGCAGTAAAAACCTGTAGCTGCTTGGCTTGACCACAGTGACAACTCCAGAAAAGCAAAATGGCTCTTTTGGGGTTTATGGCTTTTGGAAGTAAAAGTTTCCCACCTAAATACTCCTGTCTCTCCTTGGCCAGCTGCAGTCCTTGGGCTTCCAGGCTCTCGATCATGGCTTCTCCCAGCTGGGCATTCTTCCAGGTTCTAGGGAGAGCAGACACAAAGCAGACAATGTAAGAGAGCTAAGTGTCCCACAGAGCAAGGCAGGGGACTCAGCAATCCACCATGGAATTCAAACACACAGACTCATCAGTTGGGACAGTGATTCTCTAAATTTTTCTCTGCAAATGAATTGGAGAAATTTCCATGACGTTCAGTATTTTTTTTTTTATTTATTGTTTTTTAACACAGGAGCTCCACATCAACAGCACACAGTCATTCAAATTTTTTTTCCAGTGTTTTGGAGATTTCTCACTAAGCCTTAAGGGCTCTCCAGACCAACCCAGCACATGCACAACCTCCAACTGCAACAGGATGTACCTGGAACCCATTAAACGGATCCTGACAGACTTTAGAACCAGATTTTAGCTTTTAACTCAACTAACTTCTCATTTGTCAGTGACACTGTCTTCTGCAGCCTTTCCAATATTTTGCTGCTATAGTCACACTTCCCCTTCAAACATTAACCATTTATTGACTCCTTCCCACAGCCTTCTATCTTCAGCCTTTTGGGGATCCATCACCCATCCCAGAAGAAATCATCCATCTGCTGCTAAACTTGTAAGGATTTGGTGTCCGGCCCTACGCTGTGAGTTAAGTGCCTCTCCCTGTAAAAACGGTGAAGAGCCAGAGATAAAGGCCAGTCAAGATGCTGGCAAGTAGGGAGAGTTAAAGGAAGCAGGCATATTCAAAGAGTACTTTGTGTTATTGTAGGACCATTGGCCAGAGAATCTCAAGGTCTCTTGAACACATTTTGTAACTAAAATGCAAAAAAGGCCTGTGGAGCAGATGCCCGTTACTGATTGAGTTGATGGGCAGGGTAGGCTTTAATATAGATATTAAATACCAAGGACAAGGACACACAAATCAAAACCAACCAGAAATGGAGTTTGTTGCTCACTTCTATTCATGTTCCATTAGAAAAAAAAACTATACACATAAAATGCCTATGTAAAAACTCATCCCAATCTATTTATATAGATGCATATACAGGAACAGCTATTGCTGCCCGGAAATTCTACCATCTTTGTTAAATCCTAAGGGACCTTATTAATATTAAATACCTGTAAGCCTTCCTGTGCCAGGCCTCTTTGTGAGCCATTTACGATTGTAGCTTTTTGGAAACCGTTAACTTGGTAACATCTTATAAAACAGTTTCAAGGCAACCTGTACTTTGTCTCTTACAAAAGCCAGACAAATACATTAAGCACACATCACCCCAGGGACGAGGCAGCTCATAGCTTCAGCAGCTCAAGCACTGCCTTGTGCTCTTTGCAGACAACTGGGTTTCTTTTCAGCTAATGAACACCTAGGATATTTCTAAAGTGCAGAGGAAATTAGAATGCTAATTAAAAAGGTGCTGTTTTGCCCACAGGTAGACATCCTCATCTTGGCTGAGAACATGAGTGTGTGTGAATGTGTTTTTCCACTAATATTCTCTGATACAGGATGAACCTGACTCCAGAGAAACCAACAGCAAACACATCTCAAGGAGGGGCGTGGAGGGGAAGACAGAGTTTAACATATGATTACTTGGAGGGTTTCAAAATAACTGTAGCCTTTAAGGTGTCTGTTTAGTAGATTCACTTTTTCAGTGCTCCCTCCTTTCCCTAGCTTAACAAGATGTTTCCCTGTCTGTAACTCAGATTTTACTACACTCACTACTGTATAACTTAGAAGATGCATCTGTATCACTCTATAGCATTTAAGCATTTATTCCTTTTATCTGCTGGAACCAGTGCCAGTGGGTAACTGCAGCAGCAGGAAGGTACAAGCTATGACTTCAACACAGTGGTGAGCAACTGCTTTTTTTATTTTGTAGCTCTTATCAAGTGAGTTTTTATCAGGAAAAGCCACATTGCTTAAAGTGCTGGAAAGCACAGAGTCAGGAATGCTCTTGGGACAAGTAGAAAGCGCCCTTATAATATACTTCTGGAAAAAAAAACAAAAAAAAACCCCAAACCAACAACAACAACAAAAACAAAAAACAAACAAACAAACAAACAAAAAACAAAACAAAACTGTATAGTATCTCCATTTGCTATACAGCTCAAAATCATCATTCTAGTCCTTTTGCAACACTGGGAACATCTCTCTAGCGTTGCCTGCATTTTACCTTTCTTGGGAGCATCCACAACCAGTTTTTGAAGACACTGGACACGGGACATATGTACTATGTTACCTGATTTTTTTTTTTACCATTGCCCACCAAGTCTACTTTTAACCAGTGCAGAGAATGCTGCTATGAACACAGAGTGTGTGTGCCCCTCTTCCCTAGCAGCAGCAGCAAAAGCCTCTCTCGGTAGGAGGAGATCCTGGCCAGCTGAGAGTCAGGGCTTTGTGCATTTCCACAAAGCTTTCAAGATCTGGAAAGTGTGATAAGTCCAAGCCACAAGATGTTAGAAGGGTGGAGAGACCACCAGCTCCCCTCCACAATAAAGAAGCATTTTCCCTGTCAAACTGGGAGGCTTGGAAAGGAGTGAAGAGCTGAAGGCATCACTGAGCACACGGTGATAGCGGAGGCAATAAGCAGTTGTGCAGGCACACACACACCACCCAGCCCCAGATGTAAAGAGGCAGCAGAGAAATCTGAAACAAAGGAGAGAGGATAGAGGACACTTCGCATCCTGGGTTCATTTTTTAGCTCTTTCCCCTATTTAACAAAATCTCAGTCTATGGAGTTGGGGGTTTTTGTTGTTGTTGGTGGTCTTTTGTTTTTTTGTTTTGTTTTTTTTTTTTTTTTTTTTTTTTTCCTTTGGTTGGTTTTAAATTATGAGGGAGACTGTAGGATGACCACAATAAGCAGTAAGTGCTGCAGCACCATTGGCAGTACAATCTCCATCTAGGAACAACAGAGCACTGAAACAGGTTGCCTAGAAGATTTCAGCCGTGCCCTTTTGACTTTCCTATTCATTGCAGATCAATTTACTGGCCCATGCTGTGCCTTTCTGGTTGCTGCCTAGCTCCCAACCTGACCCTGCTAACGTAAATCACATAATCTGTCCTTTTCCTCACATGCAGGCTATCATCAGCACTGACTGGGCTGGTACTGAAGCTGCATCACTCTCCCTCTCCGATGCGAGAACAGAAGCAGAGAGGGGAGGGAAGGGGATGTCTTGGGCAGATTTTCAGGTAGTCTGCTATATGACAGCAGCCACTATCTAGCTGTTGTTTTAAACACTAGCACTGGAATACTGAAGCAAGGACTAGAGAAAAGGCTGACTGACAAATAAGCAGCCACACAGGCCTTGCTTGTGAGAACCCCTCCTGAGCTGTGCACAGCCACGCTCCTTCCCTCCCATGCACACCTGAAAGATGAATTTGGCCCCAAAATTATTGCCCTTGGCTGTAGCCAAGTTTAACATTGGTGAAAGCAAGTGCAGACCTGTGTTATCAAAGAAACAACTCTTAATTACACAAGACTAAATCTGTGTCCCTCCTCCTCTGCAGTGGTCAAGACTGCTCGTGCTGAGTAGGTGACACACCTCTGCCTTGGGCCTTGTGTCCCATGGGGCTCATGATCCCACGAAGCTTTAACAGATGGCTTTGCATTGCAGTTCATACAGTACCGGGGGGTAGCAGCTTGCTCCAGCATCAAAGCCAGGCTCACTGCAGCAGCGCGGAGCTTGGCTTGGGCTGATCTACTGTAACACTGTGCTCCTCATTAACTACAAATAAAGATTTGCATCCTCACAACATTGGAATTAACCGAGATACTGCCTTTACCATGCACACACTGCTATTACAAGTTAAACTTGCCTGAAAGAGCACCTTTTGTCCCCACAGTCGCAAAAGACCACATACACACATTGCAACACAGCCAGAAAGAGCAAAGTGCTCATTGCTTCAAGCCTCATAGCTGAATAGTAGGCTCTGCTCTACAGACTCTGGAAGTTTCTACCTGGCTTGGGATAGTCAGATCCCTGTTTGAATGTTACCTCTTCCTGCATCTGCTGAGATCTAGAAAGAGCCTGCTCTGGTTTTGCAGGACAGCTACTCGTTGTACTGTCAGGCACCCAGGTGCTGAGGGACTGCAGAGCTGGCGGCCACCAAACTGCAAATCTCCCCAGCATTCTCAGCAATCTATAAACTCAATATTGTACGCATATGGCAGTCAAACCCTCTCACCCCTGTAGGTGGGCTGGAAGCGCTTTGCTAACACCTCCTCCCCTGGGATTCAGCCTGCCTCCGCATTTCAGAATTAAACTGTCTTGAGAGGCCAAATCCCGCTGCTGCGTGGCCTGAGTGCCCTAGGGTGTGGGCAGAAGGGGTGCACACCCCACGGTCACACAACTGCTTCAGGGCTGTTACTGACGTCTCGGCACTGCTCTGGAGAGCAGGGTCAGGCTGCCGAGGTCCCTGCTCACCCGCAGGCTGTAGAGACACACGGGCAGCTGCTCGCTAGCTTCGTGCCTTGCCTGTTCTGCTCTTACCTTACCCCAAATTCACGCACCTGAAGCATCAGGAGGTTTTCTGACCCCCACCTTTGTCAAGCCCACAGATCTTGCTTCCCACAGAAAATGGAGCAGGAGAGCTCCCGTTCAGTCCCAGGTCCCACCTCTCTGAGACAAGAGAAGGACAGCGGACGCCACTCCGTACGCCAGCATTTGACAGACGACAGCCTGGGGTTGTTAGCTGGGGTTGTTAGCAAAGAGCCATACTGCACACCACACCGCACACTGAGGCGGGAATCTTTGTGCCAGTTTTAGAGCATTCTCGTTTATAGAAAGGATGGGTCCAGGAGGAAAGTGAAAGTCTCACTAGTCCTGGGGAGCTTGTCTGCCTCCCCATAGTCAGGCTTCTTCCTCTTTATCTTTTATGCATCTACAGAGCAGATCAAAGAGAATAAGGAATAAAAAGCAGCTTACACTTTTCCAGACTCCTGTAGCATCTCCAGCCACTGAGCCTGCTCAAACTCTGATTCGGCTGCTAGAACAATGTTACCCTAGAAGAGGGGAGGGGAAGGGAGGGGAGGGGAAAAAACACCCGTATTAGAGAGGCTGGTGCCTTACGCAGCTCTGTGAACCTGAGGCATGAACTGGACACATCTAGCACAGCTATGGTAGGAGGAGAGCCCACTGCAGGCTTCCACCTCCACAGGAGGCATCACGTGGGAGCAAATGTGCCCCAGGCCCACCACACATTGGAAAGAGATGTACATGGCAAGCGATCATGGTAGGAGTAAAATGGTAGAGAAACATGAGCTCTAGGGCTCTTGAATATCTGTCTACTGGTTTCCTGGTAGCATAAGACCTACTGTCAGAAAAAGCAAGTTTCCCTGTTGGTTGTCAAAGCAGCAACAGCAGCAAAGCCTTGAGGGGACTTGGGATGCTGAGCCACCCTCTCTCAGGATAGTCTGCCCAGAGAGGGTAGACACACATTGGTGGGGTGGGAAAGACTGCCAGTGCAGCTCTGCTCATCAGCAATAAAATGTTCTGTGGTGTTTGGATTTTTTTGAGAAGAAAATAAGTCAACTTACATGGAAGTCTTCATGAGAGATCTTTATGGCATAAGGCATGTTGGGCTCTTCTTTGGGCTCCACAATGCAGCCTCCTAGGGGTATGACACCCTGAGAATAAACCAGAGTACTCCAATCAGGCAGAAAAATCAAGTATAACTATTAACTAACCAGTAGCTGAACTTTAACCCTTGGTCACTCGCAGGCCCCTGCCCGGCCTTGGCTATCCCCGGAGGGGCAATACACATGGTTCCTGAAAAGCAGTGAGACTCCCACCACCACCAGGAGACCTCCAAGTGGCATCTGAAAGGGGGTAAAGACAGGTCTCCTGCATTCGGCTTGGAGGGTAAGCTGCCAGCTAGAGCATGGGAGTGGGAACTCTTTTATCGAAGAGGAGGTGATCTCCCAACAGGGGCACACATTGCAGAGTCACAGTGTGACACCATGAGAGGGTCTGTGCATCCGTTAGTCACCACCATCAGGTCAACACCCCACACGCGCTGTGTGGTGACGGATGGGTGGCCTGCTGCCCCTACCAAGGCCGGCTGAAATCAGGACCTGTGGAAGCACGTGTGCTTCATCAGCTTCCAGTGACTAGAGGATAAAAGCAGACTCAGAAAGCTCCAGGTGTCAGAGAAACAGGGGCTGCTTCTGGGGGCTGGGGGCACATGGGCTCACAGGGGCTGGCTGTGGCCGCAGGCTAGGAACAAGCAGCAACCAAAGCTGTTCACCCCACCACTGGCTTTGCCAGCAGTGTTCTCATAACCACCAGATTAGTTGATTAGGAGGTCATGAAAACAAGGGAATACTATATTTTTTTTACCTGATAGTAGAAAAGTCATGTGCCTGCTGAATCATTAAGGAGCCTGAAGAGGTACTGATGTGATTCTTGCTTTTTTTGAGGCTTCCCTTGATCTGTGAGAAGTTTGTGACTTATGTCTTCTTGACTTGCTGAGCCTGTTGAGGGAGGGGAAGCTAGAAACAGAATAACCCCTTCTCCCATGCAAGCGCTGCTCACCTTGGGGTGGATATTGAAGTATTTATTGCTTTCAAAACTCTTCTTCTCACTCTCAGCATAGTAGAGCAGGAAACTTTCCTTAATGATGAAGAACCTTTAAGACAGGAAAAAGGAAACTAGAACAGAGGTTGTGTTTCACAGCACAAGAAAATATCCACCTAACTAAAGCTGCTTTCTGAGCAAAAGAGTTTACAATTCCCATTAAGCCTCAGGTGAGGTGCCTCACTTCTGCTCATATCCCAGAGCTAGTGCTTAACACTAAGTGCCAAGTTCAAGTGCTTTGTGCTTGCAGTTTACCACGGTGTGCACGCACCAGTGTTGAAGTAAACCATAGCACCATTTACTCACAGGGGAATGGGACTGAGGTCTGTGGCCAAGACAGGAGAACAGCCAAAGCCTTTTGGCATCTTGACCTGTGCGCACTCTATCCAAGCCCATGCGCTGGATTCAACATCTTGGAAGAGAGCTGCTCCTTTTTTTAAGGGTCTCTCTCACACGGGCTAAGGGCAACTAAAAGCTTATTTTTGCAATCTACTCTCAGCCACCCTCTTTCCTTCCATCTCAGCATAAGCCAAAAGGAAAGTATTTCCACTGTAACACTGAGTCGAATGGCAGGGAGAATCACAGGCTAGAGTCCCCAAGAGACTCTTGAGGCAAAAGATTGACTATGAAAGCACGCAGAAACAGAAATAAATTTTAGAGATTTGCTTAAGCAGAGGTCCTGGCAAAATCTCCTGTCATTGACCTTTGTAAATATAAAGGAATTTTTTTTTTTTTTTCTCATATGCATCACATAAAAATGTGCCTTGTTCTGCTCAGTTCACCTTAGGTATGCTCTGATGAGCATTGTATAGTAACCACAAAATATCACAGCTTCTGTAAACCAAGCCTCTAATTTGCTGGAGTGTGTCCTCAAAATTGTGACTAAAGGAGTGCCACTTTTAGCTTATTTGGATGTTCAAAATGCCCTGGGAGAGGCTCTCTTCTCTTTGAAAAATGAGGTTGCATTTACCCTGCAGGCAGTGGTATAGAGGAGAGATATCTGACTTAGCTTAAATTCAGTCTAAATCTCCACAGCACTCAAAAATGCTGAAGAGCAGCTGAAAAAAAAAAAAAACAAAAAAAAAAACGGGGACAAGTTTAGTAGGGATGTTTCAAAAGAATAACTGATAAAGAAAATGTGTAGCACTGTTCTGTACATATTTTCTGATATGAGAAAAAGGACTTGGAAAGAAAAGGAAAGGTAATAAGCTGAAAATTAATAAAGAATGTCTTTTTACACTGCATGAAACACTGCTCTGTAAATCATTTTCATGTGGTCCTGAGGACAAGAGTTCATGAGGAATCTGGAAAGGGTAAGACTCTTCTGTGAATAACGACAACATCCCCAGGAAACCCTCCTGCTTCTGGGCAGAAATCCTCCCGAGAGGGACCAGGGAGAGACTTCTCCGGGCAGCGCCTTCCAGTTGTGCAGCCTGGGGATTCCTGAGCCTTCCTCTGAAGCTGCCCTTTGCGATGGGCTACCGGCCGAGAGGGCTGATCCACGAGAGCAACTGTAATACCTCAGGTGCCCATCCCACCCCAGCCCACTCCTGAGGCAGAGGGTCTGTCAGATGGAGCCAAGCGCTGCCTCCAGTACGGACAAGCACAGCAGTCTGGTACCAGTTAATTCCCTACAGCTGAAGGAGTCAAAGCTGGTAGAGAATTATCATGATAATAAAATAATATGTATCATTATAATATATTATTCATAATTATTATCATTATTATACTTGAGGGAAAGCATTACCACTTCCACCAGCCCCTATCTCTTGCTCTTCTGCCATGGCTCTGGCAACACAGATGGAGTTGCCACATGCTGTGGAAAGAAGAGCCATGGGCTCACAAAAGGACTGAAAAATGCACAACAAAGCTAAACATTTGAATGCCTGAATCAGGTTCAAGCTCTGGACCTCCTGTGCACTGGCTCCAAGATGTTTAAAAGTGACCGTCCTTGAAGGCATGCATATTTACATCGAGAAGTCTTCAGAATGTACAAACACCAGCAGCAATTATTGTGCCCCAAATTTTTATTTCTCCTTGCCCACTCCTCTATACCTGTTCATGACATCAGAGGTGGGGAGAAGCAGCGAGCTTGCTTCCTCAGCAGGACACTTCTTCTCATTTGATACTCTGGGAACATCATGGTTGACTGCCTAACTTCACCTCTTGTTCCTGACCACAGCCTGGCAAAATTTCTCTTGGCAAAACAGCATGACTCAGTGCAAAAAAAAAAAATCACTCTTCTGCATTTAGCTCATTTAGTTGGTAAAGGACCAAAAAAGGTGCTCATTCACAGCGCAGCCTGCCCAGCAAGGCATCTGAGTAGGAGCAACGGCTATTCACCTTCCACTCAGGGCACCACCTCCCTTCCAGCCCGAACTCGTATCCCAGTGCATGTCCCAGAGGAGCTGCATCTAATGTCCCCTCAGCTGGGAAAGCAGTGCGTGACCCCCCTGTAGTGGCTGTCCATGCTCCTTCTGTGTGACTGTGAGAGGTGCCTAAGTTGGACAGGGAGATGGGCTGTCCGTGGGGCACAACTGGTTTTCCCTGTTGTGGAAATCTCCATCCAAAATCTCTTGCCAGCGTCACAGATTGCGGCCCAGAACAGTTTCCTCATGACAGGAGGCCCGGATGGGAAGGAGCATCCCAGAGAAGCAGGGGGCTGAACTGCTCACACAATTTTGAGACACCAGCCCATTTGTAGCAGATGCATTAGGCACATCTCTGTGGGACACATTACTGATGGAGTGGATTCATCAAGGTCTCACCTCTGTGTGAAACAAGGATTGTTATTTTCAGATATATTTGCATTAATGGCAAAGGCAGCCATGACCCCTGCAGCAGGCTCAGAGCTGATCCTGGCCAAGGCAGATAATGGAGTGACCTCCACAGAGCCGGCAGGGCTTGTTTCTGGTTCCTCCTGTCCACATCACTTCTGTGAGCAGCAACCTTGTGTCTTCCTCGTTCATTTTTCCTCCCACCTCTTCTCATTAACTCTATAAAAAAGTTTTCTTACAAGTAGCTGCATCTTCACTTTACGTCTCTAATGTTTAGTTCCACAAGGAGTTGATTTTTTTTGAGGGACATGTTATCTCATCTGCACAATAAATACAGAAATAACATCTTTAAAGAACAGTCCTGCCTGACCAATGGCCTGTGCTTGGTCCAGGGGCTCAGAGTGAACCAGATATTGTAGGCACAAATATGAAACTAATGAATAAAAGCAACACACCACATGAAGTGGAGGAAGTCTATTCAACATTTTCAATAGTCTTTTCAGTCTAAACAACCTCAGGAACACATTGCAAGACAGGTAAAGCTACTGATCTTTAACAATGTGTGATCTTTAATCTAAATGTTAACCCCCAGTTAAAGCCAGGCTTTAGTTTGTTACACACTTTTTGTCTGCTCGGTGCTTCTGATAACCCCCATATTATAGATTATGCTCCAGTGGAAACCAAAACTAAATCAAAACCAAGAACAAAGCATAGCACAGATCTCTGAGGATTGATGTGTCTGACAGATTAATGAACTTTTAGATCCATGACCTCACAGATGTGGAGAGAATCTGTGGGGATTTGGAATGTAAATATATGAAATAAGAATTTAAAAAATAATAAAAACAACAACAAAAAAAACCCCACAGCAAAACAAATAAATGGGAAAAAAAAAAAAAAAAGAAAGGGGGGGGAAATAAGGAAAAACAAAAAAAAAATGTTAGGAAAAACACTGAAAATCTGTTTAGCTGATGGACATAATGTATTCATGCTCAGATTATACGCCCTCTTCTATCCTTACCTAGAAGGCAACACCTAAGCAACCAAGATCATCATTTTAACTTCAACTTTCAGGACAAAGTCTCCATACAACAATACAAGGACAATTGATGCAGCACAATGGAAAGAGGGATGAAGTGAAGGAGTAGAAGAGAAAGAGTTACAAGACTCAAGAGCAAGTTGGAGACTGAAGCAGCAGCCAGGTGAGCAAGAGCAGAAAGGGAAAAGGTGACCAAGGGAGAGAGAATGGGGGGAGACACCCAGTTAGGATTAGGAGGCTGGAGACACTGAACACATATCTGAATTAGGCACAGATGTGCCAGCAGAAGAAAAGTGAGTGCTGGAAAGACAGAGGAAGATTTTGGGTACAAACAAGAAACCAAAAATTATTTTAAAAGAGAGCAGGATTCAAAAAGCGTGGAGTGTCAGCAAAGGCGAGACGTGAGAAGACCTGGTACAACCACGCACACTCCACATGCAGCACAAGTAATGCAAGAGCCATACACACATGGTCAACTCTTTTGAGTCACCCATCCCCTCTTGCTAGATACTGCACTAAGACACCACTGAAACCACAGTGTAGTTATACTGGAATAGCAGAGGAAGAGTAAAAATCTGAGTGACTCAGATGTAAAGCCAGAGACACCATCTGCCAAGATTAGACACAACAGCTCTATACTGGACAAGTAGAGATACCTGATCTCTGTGGATAAAGTGCTTTCTTTGTGTCACAGAGGGCTAACGTGATCAATTATCTAATCTTTGTAAAAGTTTTTGAAGTGACAATGGCCCATGTTAAATATTTATAATATAAAACTGCAGCAGTCTCCCTCGTCCTTCCTTCCAGTGGTGGTTTTCTGGGCACCGGTCCAGGAGCACGGGCAGCAAATCCCAGTTACAGGATCAGCCCAGTTCTCTCTCCACGGGGACAGCTCAGGAAAATGATGGGCAAATGATCTTCATGAGCATGTCAGCTCAGCCACGACCAGTACCTGTCCCTCACTTTTCCTCTCCTGACAGCTCCAGGCTTTCCTGCCTGGCTCCCGCCCCGGCGCCCGGCAGCTGGAACAGGGCCCAGCCGGGCAGGGAGCGGGAGGAGGCGGGTGGCTCCCGACCACAACCAGCCCGGCGGGAAGTTTATAAGGACGAGAGGGAAGCACACAGTCTGCCTGACTCTCAGCCCCGCTGCCTCAGCAGCTCCTGCTGCCCCTGTGCTGCACGCACACACGCTGCTCTGCAGCTGTGGGCTTTCTAGATTTTTTAGAGCAGAAAACAGTCCTAAACAATTGTCCTTTCCATCTATCCTGTGACCACATCCAGTGACTGTTGGTAGCCACTCTGCTGGAAAACAAGGTTACATGCATGCTTTGCAGTGCCACAGCCAGGACTGGCCCAAGAATAGATAAAATTTCTCTCTTAACTGTGCTGTATTTCCCTCCTTCCAGCAGCAACCTGGCATCTCTGATGGATTTATGCAGAGGTATAAGCATATTTTGTGCTTTGTTCTCTACTCTTTTCAATTCCTCATGTTCCACCTTGCTTTTCTAACTCTGAGCAAATGCCCTCCTGGGACAGTCCCCCCCTAGCCCCAGTCTCACACTTGAATGGTGACAGTCAGCTTAGAGCCTAACATTTCTGCATGGGGCTGGGATTATTCACAGCAGAGAAGGATGTGCCACCTCCTAGCTGCAAAGCTACAGGGCCCCATTCACGCCACATCCAGGGCAGGTACGTACCTTGTGCACTTCATTCCAGACTGATGCTGTTACCAGTACAACTTCTGCAGTAAAGAAAAGACTACACTGCTTGTTATTTGGAAGGAAAAATGGGATGCAGTTTGGTGGGCAGAGGAGGACCATAAGTCAAGGGCTGAGAATCTGATTTTCCAAAGCCAGTCCAGCGGTGAGCCAAGCTTAGACTGGTCAAAAGCACCAGTAAACTCAGAAGATGGCTGCATCTCTCTTGGAGGGATGTTACTTTACAAGGAAAAAAAATCTACCATTAGGAATAGAACTTCTCTTGGAGAGGCAGGAACTAGGTTTCTGCTAATGGCATTTCAACATAAAGTTCTGACAGGCAGCACGCTCAGCTGTCAGCCCTGGCAGATGAACACAGCCCCGTTGGTCCAGTGCCAGAAGCACCCAGCCCACCCGAGGCAGCACACAAATGCTTCGGTCGCAGGACAGACCGTTGTGTGGGCAAGGGAAAAGACTGCAAGTGCTCCAGACAGATGCCTCACATGAAGCCTTGCTGTCCTCACGGGTGCCATCAGATGCCAGCCCTGCCTGAAATAAGGCTCTGCTATCCCTCCCTGCATAACCTCTATTGCCGCGAAATCCCCACACCTGGGGTTTCAATCGCCAAAGCACTGGACACCGTGCCTGGACTTTTTTCCTTGGTCCGTTATCCAGTTAGCCTCCATCCTTCCCTTAAACACTTTCTTTTCTTCTCAGCATCTCCAGCAGCACTGTTGCTACAGCCAAACAAATGGGGTCAAGCCAGTAAGTACCACACATCCCTCAACGGCCACGCAGACCCATCTGCATGGCTGATGCCCTGATGTGACCAATCCTCCCATTATGTGCTGGTTTACGTCCTGTAGCTTGGAACAGGGAATAGTACTATTGTCCAGTGCAAAATTACTTCACCGCAAAGGTACTACCTGTAAATACCAAATAGATAGTAGTAATTCAAGGTTTCAGGACAAAATTGACATTGCTCAGAGATCAGATCCTCAACTGTATCCAGCATTAGTCAATTTTTTCTCTTAATTTAACTGGAGGGGGAATCATCTCTTCTCCTTTTTGAAAAATAATGCAGTTGACCAGCAGTGTCTTTTTAGGCATGGCGGGTAAGTGGGGGAAATGGATTAATTGCTCCTTATCTCCCCATAATGACTGACTTACAATAGCATGCAAGATTTTTTACTTTAAAGCAAATCTCTCCTGTGATAAAAAATGTCATCATTTCCCCTGCTACAGTTCTTTTAGTCTGGAAGCCCCTTCCTTCCAAACCCAACGGATTCCCTGTGTTCACCTCCCACTGACCTGTCTCTGATCCCCCAGGCCCCTCAGCTGCCCTGCTCGCAGCTAACCTTTCACATCATCCCTGCCCCAAGGCCACCTCCCCGTCTCTTCCCACCCGCTATCACTAAAATATTTACCACTTTCTGAAGATGGGGGTGACTTCTAGGAATAGAACAGCACTAAATAAATAATGACAGAGAGAACACGGAGAGGCCATTCGCCTGCAAGAAATTTTGATTAGGAATAAGAAACCCTTTTAAGAACGTCTCCTCCATGGCAAATTACCTTCCCCACCGTTATTCTGTCCACTTCTTTTCCATAACACAGTCACATTAGTTTCCAGACATAATTCATTCAGATATCAATGTTTGGGAGCTGAGTAAGGAACATCAGGACAAATTCTCTCCTGTGTGAAAAAAGGCCACTGTTTTCGGAGGGGGGGGGGGGGGGGGGGGGGAGGGGAGGGGGCTTGAGGGATTGGGTTGGTGGTGGTGTGGTGTTAAATAAAACCTACATGCAGGTCAAAGATGGCTACAAATAAAAAACTACTTCCCAAGCAGCATTTAACTATTTTTCAGGCCATGCCATCTTCACAGGTTTAGACTGGACAGCACTGTGGTTACTACACAGAGCAAAACTGGGAAAGTTTGGTCTAGAAATGGGTTTGATGTGCTGTGTCTACACTGCAGACTCCAGCAAAATGGTACCCACAAAAGCGACATACCGGAGGCAGCTGAGACACATTGCTCATGTGCAGTTAACTTATTCTTCTGAAAAGCCTTGAGACACACTATGCTACAAAGGCTACAAAACTGCCTTTCAGTTCCAGAGGTAGCTCAGGCTCCCTGTGCTGCCTTTTGTTAATGACTCATTTGTGCCTTTCCCCAGTGGAAAGGTGAGAGGGGGAGGAGAACAACATTACTTTGCTTTTCTGGCAGACTTTTTCATCTGCAGATACCAAATTAATGAAGGCAGGTAAGTACTACTGTTCTTCTTGAATAGACCATGACAACAAATCCTGAGTCACAAAACATATCTCTGGCAGTGGTAGGGTGAAAATAAAAGTTTCTTGGCTGCTAGTCGTCTAATTGAATCATTTGCCAATGATGTCTATCAGCAGTGACATTCATCTGCCATCCAGGAATGCTGGAAGGCTTAATCCATTGGATCATGTACCCCTAGTGAGCAACGAGAAGGAGCTGTACCATGTTTCTATGCAAATACCCATCCATAAAGAGTCATGTCTCATCATTTGACAACCTCCTGTGAGATTCACCGATTTGCATAAAGAAACTACACCAACTTTAAACCTCAGACTGACCCATCACTTCAGTAGTATAGAACCTGCTTCCATCCTTGGTAAAAGGTTATAGCAAATGCTTTCCAGCTCCAAACTTCCTGGCTGCTGGTACACAACACACAGCAGTTCACAACTCCCTAGCAGCAGATGGGAGAGAATTCAGAGCCACCTTCCCCCAGGGGAAGAAATCCCTCATTTGCCATCACTGCCACGCAGCACAGCGGTACCAGTACCGGTGCTGGTCCGCAAACCCCTGCGCACCGCACACACAGTCCCACACGCACAGCCAGTGCAGCTGAGCCATCTCACACCCGAAGGGCTCAAAGAGCTTTAACAAGAGCTAATGAACAAAGTCAAGAAGTCCGGGGGCAAAATATATAAGCTAACTCTTTCTCTTTCATGAAATGATCGTAGAGACAATTATCCAGAGGAGGCAGCTAGTCCTCATTCCCACCCTGAAGTGCACGTATCACAGGGGCTGGGTGGATAAAGAAGCAAGCACAATGGGGTGCCACGTGTGTAAAGCAGACTCAGAACAGCAGGGAAGCTACGCTCAAAGTTTCACCCCTCGGCTCTGCCTAGCTAGCTGCACTTGAAGAGCCAAGTACTCAGGTGCTGACTTACCCCAGCACCCTTAGGCTTTGCATTTCACCTGAGCTCCCCTCAGCGGCTGTGCCTTACCTCCTGGACCATTTGGCCGACTGCCTCCCGAAGGGTCTCTTCCAGAGCACGCCGTACAGCTGCACTTTGGTGCTGATGTCCAGAGCATCTGAATCTGCCTGCTCCATGGACGGAGAAGGGGATACGGAACTGGATTTTGAAGCAAACATTGCAGATGGATCTGGTTCTAACTCTGCCCCTCTGTGCAGCAGGTCAGGGAATCCGATTAAATGCAATAAACCAGAAGGATGTAACCAGCCACTCCAAGCGGCAGACGGAGAGACTGGGCTATGGTTTGAATCAATAACTTGACTGCTCAGTACTCAGTCAATAATTCTCTCCCTGATGCAGAGATGATGAGAGTTTCCTCATTGCATATTACTTCCTGATGCATTACAGACAGCACACATCCCAGCCCAAGGAAAAGGAAAAAATAAAAAAGAAAAAAGAAAAAAAAAAAAAAGAGCGAAGAGAGCCAGAGATCAGGAACACAGAGGCAGAAAGAGCTCACCAGAGAGAAAGCTCCCAGCAATAACGTGAGTCAGAATACCTCCGCACCAGAGACAGCTTGGAAGATTATTTCACTCGACACTGCAGCACCTCAGGCAGAAATCAGGGCAAGATGGATGTTTTACTGTCAGGTATCTCTTACTCTGACACATACCTCTAAAATCTTGTGCTTGGAGACAGGTTCTTCTCATTTGTCCCGAGGAAAAAGGGAGCAGGGTGGGTGGGAGGAGGCAAGTTCAATCAGATTCCCTCTGCCCTCGGGAGGCTTTTGCTGTGCCAGCCTGGCACTGCCCACCCGGGTACAGTTCACGTGGCTGCCGGGTTTGGACTGGGCAGTGTCCACCCTGCACGCCTTGCTCAGCCTTAAAGGGCCATTGCTGATCAGTTAGAGCATACAATTCTGCCTGTCTCTGTGCCTTGCAGCATCTTGGAGATGGGGCAAGCACTGCCTCTGCCCTGCCTCTTAGGTACCAGCTCCTTGGCCACAGCACAGAGACATAGGAATGCATAACACAGCTCAGGTGAGTCCCCATTCATCTCCAGTTTGGTACTCCCACAACAAGCTTTGTATTCTGGTTCCCCTCTTGAAACCCGCCCTCCCTGCAGACATACAAACACAGTCCTGCAAAAAAAAAAAAAAAAACCCTGTCTTTTTTAATGGCCACAGGAAAGCACATCGGCATCACGTTGTTCCTTCCTACATCCTGCCTTCCCCCTAGGACTAGGATTTGGGGAAGAACTGCCTGCACTGTGCTTGGTAAAGCATCTGGAGTTTTGGAGCGTTGTATAACTAGTGCAGACACATGCTGTGAGGCATCTGCTCCTGTTTTAACCTGTGCCATCCTATGTGTATCGATTTTGATGTTGTAAATGTCAGCCCTTCCCAATGCAGTTAATCAGAAGCGACACACTGCAGACACACAGTGCTTTCTCATTCCTGGAGATTAGAAACCTGGGACCTGCCATAGGCTGGATCACAGCACTGGGCACAGGCTCACTTAGCTTTTTACTGTCACAGGCACTTGCAAAGCATCTTAAGCAGAGAAAACACAGACTGCCCGCCTCAAGCTCACAGTCTGCATTTGGTATTAGAGAAATTATAGATGCAGGTCCGTGATAAAAAACACTATTGATCGCTAGATGAGAGAGTCAAACTCAATGCTTTGTTACTTTCTCTCACCCTAGCTTTGACTGGCCTTTTGGTTCCAGGCAGGGCATGTCCCGAGCAGCACCAAAGCCCATCTCAGAGTGACATTAAGGGAGAGTGGGGAAGAGGGGAGATCAGCAAACACTGCCTCCATCTCACCTGAGCCCCAGCTCTTGAAATACAACACTGGACTGCAGAAGAGATGTAGTAATTCTGTAGTGACCATTCCAAACACTGCACTAAGAAGAAAATACTACTTGTAACCAGGAAAGGGAAAAGTTTCCCTGGAATTACAGTGCACAAAGGGTAAAAAGGATTCTGGGCCCAACAGCACCACCTTAAATTATAAATGTGCACTGAAAAGCCACAGATATCCTGTGTAAGAATGATGCAGTGCCCCTGTCATTGTACAGCACCAGCAATGCAAAGATCTGATAGCAGTGACCTGCAGTGAGGAAAAGTAGGTTTTTCATCCTTTGCTTCTTTACTTTTATCTTGCACAGACCAAGAGAGAAAAGAGGTCCCTACCTTTGAACATCAAAAAACTAAGATATTTTTTCCTCTGGACATCTCTAGGACAAGCAAGGGACTGAGTAGTCACAGGAAATTCTTTACAGTGGGCAGCTCCAGGGGAGGGAAAGAACAACTTGCTTTTGTCAAGTGATCAAGAGTTAAATATGGGCAGGAGCCAGCAATAGTAGGGCAGTAAATAACACTGGGGTGAATTCTGTAACTGCTGGTGCTTGGACAAAATAAGTTGTAATAACAGCGGTTGTGTTAACATTTAAGTGTGTACTAATCTAAATAAATTGGGGCCCTGTCTGTCTGAAGTAAGGAGCAGGAGAACAACACAACAGGTCTAAGCAACTTGCCTCTTGCATACAGAAGGGGACGGCAGAAGGGCCAGCTTAAACGTTCTTCAGTGTCACTTCTGTCAGATGCAAAACTTACTTCCAACTGGCCAGGAACTCTGGGATCAAGAGAACAATGTCATAAAACCTGGCCAGGAGAAAAGGGTCCACCACAGGGTGAGTAAAGGGAGTTGGGTCCTGCAGAAGTGCCTTCTCTAGATTCCAGGGGATGGAAAACTTTAGGAAAGCACAAGCGGGCTTCGTTTTGCTGTAAGCTCTTGGTGAAACCTAACAACCCAAAAGCACATAAACATTTATACAGAAATAACCAATTTGTATTTAATTTGGGAGCTCATAACTTAATAACAGCAGAGGAGGGAGATTCAAGTATACAAGACCTTTGCAGGACAATTGTGTTACACCAGTGGAAAAAAAAAAAAAAAAAAAAAAAAAAAGCAAGTTACGGTCTGCATTAGAAGTGAAGGCAGACATAAGCCCTTATACCAGACCTACACATGATCGCTTCTGTACAGTTCTAGCCAAATAGATTCCCTGGCCCTGAAGAGATGCAGAAAAAAGCTTGAGGCATGATCACAGGTATAGCTAACCCATAGCATGACAGGACACTAAAAGGACATCACTTGTTCAATTGAGCATGAAGGGGAAAATTTGATTGCTGTCTAGTTTCAGGCATTCTTCCCCCTCTTGAGGGAAAAGTTGGCAAAAGTTGATGCTTGCAACAATCTGAATTGGCCTAATGGCCATGAATAAATGAGAAGGTGTGTAACTGTCATAGGAAAAGGGCTGTAGAATTGCCTTGCAACAAGAGCAGCACAGGCAAAAAGCCATTACTTGGATGTTTCATTCTTGTTGGCTTGTAGGGGAAATGCAGCTGTACATTCTGGAGAGAAAGCACTGGAGATTTACTCAGAAAACCTTCCTGCAGAGAGACAGGCTATGCTGATACAGGGATTATTTAGCTAATACGTTGTCCCTATTTTTCCTACCCATCAAGCCAATAAAATTTTGCTTGAAAAAAACCTTTGAAGCAGAGAGCAGGGCAAACTAGTACAGAAGTAACACTCCATCATCACAGGCCACCCCACAGCTGGAAGAAGCTCCCTTTCAGTTTAAGGATATACATAGTGGCTAACTGCAGCTGATGAGGAGGCTTGTTTTTTGGTTTTGTAGGTTTTTTTTTTTTTAAATGAAAAGTTATACCTTTATGTTCTGGGCAGCCTTACAATAGTACTTTATGCAGAAAAGAACAAACTAATCCTTGGACTGGGGCCAGGAAATTGAGATCTGGATCAGAGCTGCTGCAGAGTTGGAAAGATTATGATCTTGCCTTCCAGTATGGATTCCTGTTCCTCTTACAGCTTCTGATAGGCTCTGTAGCCATTTTCAACCCAGAGAAGCATTAGCAATTATAGGAGGTATCAGCAGGTACCTGGAACAATGTGGAGAAATAAAAAGAAAGTCCAGCATAGATTTCATTTATGATATATCATTCTTGCAAAGATAAATGTCACATGTACGTATCAAAATGATGTTTCAGCTTCGCAGATGTACAGTTGTGTGCAGAGGCTATTTTAAATAGAACAAAAGCAACAGCCATCAATCCTTCTCTAGTGTGCTCCATTGACAGATTGTTGCTTTTGCACGTGATGAAATTTTTAGTGTCAGATGGGAAGTCAGAACTCTCCTGCAGAGCTCAAAGAAAAGTGATTCAGCAAATGGGCATTAAAGTGAAGAATCTGTGTAGGTTTATTACCCCATGTGACATCACCCTCTAGTGAAAATCATGTGGTCTTAGTGCCCTGTTCTAGACAAAGCCCTCCACCAGCCCTTCAAACCCACCCAGATCCATGTTGGATGGCCCATGACTCGTATTAGTCAAATTATTAGCTGTGGATATAGCACCACTTCAGGAGACTTACAGGAGGACAGAAAGTAAGATGCCAGTTTACTGAAGCAAAGGGATTTGATAGCAAGCAGCCAGCCCAGTAGTCTTGCGGACTCACAGCCTGGCTTTTGGTGGGTGGCTTCCTCAGGGAGTAACACCACAGACAATGGCCATTTCTCTCAGCATCTAAAAGAGATCATGTCTTTTTTTGTTTGGGTTGTTTTTTTTTGTTTGTTTGTTTGTTTTTTTTTTTTTTTAATCCTACTGTGAGATCACTTCTGGAAGAAGACTCATTTGCTCTGGTGTTTTGGGTTTTTTTACAAAAAAACAAAACAAAACAGTTTCTGCTAAACAGACATGTTTTAGGGACTTTAGAATATATCAGTCAGCTACATTTGAAAAAATTTCCTCCAGAAGTTAGACCATGGGCTTCCTACAACACCCCAGTTTTTCCCCCCATCAAGCCCAAATACCACGAAGAGATCACATGGCTTACGTGAACAGAAAATGCTTGGTACTGGAATAGTTATATAGGCTGCTTCCAACCAGCAGATTGTTCAACAGCAGCAAATAAATGCAGATCTACTTGCTTTCTTCCCTCAGATTATGAACCCACCAGCAGACGCTCCCTTCCCTTCCTCCCCTTCCACCACCCCACTGCTCGGGCTGCCCTGGCCGGCCAAATCCCAGCCCAAATCCCATTTCTGAGGCTGTGGGAGGGCACAGCGGCCCTGGGAGCACTCCTCCTCACCGAGGGCAGCCAAACCTCCACACACAGGGCCAGGGAAGAACAAACCTTTCCCCAAGAAGGTTTTATAGCAGTGTTCAGATCTGGTAAGCTTGTTGCTTAGCATGCACATGACCTGCATTTCTCTATACCTTTCCTAGAGCATTTCATTTTATCTACGTCTTACCTGCTTGTGACCAACATTATTCAACCCAATCCCAAATGTGACAGCAGTAACAGTAGAAAATAATCAAGGACATGGTTTTACCAGGTGACACAGCTCAGCATCAATGGTTTATCCAGCTCTGCTGAAAGTTTTCTGCACAGAAAACACAGAAGTCAAGTCGCAGACTACCTATGACACACACACACACTCCTGCCACATGAGTAGCACAGGCTACACAAAGGCCAGCTCAGCAATTTTTCAAGACTTTCTTGCCCTTTGCACCCTGTGGTGCCAGGACAGTCAGAGATC